GCGTGCGTGCGTGCGTGCGTGCGTGCGTGCGTGCGTGCGTGCGTGCGTGCGTGCGTGCGTGCGTGCGTGCGTGCGTGCGTGTGTGTGTGTGTGTGTTAACCCAAACCTCTTATGAAGGACATAAATGCGGGTGGGCATTTTTTCACAAGTGGAAACAAATAATTCCAAATGTCCTTCACAAATGTCCCCCGCCATTGAGTTTCAGGTTGAATGAAAATATCCTTATATTTTATTTTATTCATTGAAAATGGGAATCGGGTCAATTTGACCCGAACACCACACAAGGGTTAAAAAAAACAAGCTAGGAAATGGCAGACTCTGTTTATTTTTTATATTGATTCATTCCACGTAGTAGTACACAGTATATAGCTGAAAGACAAAGAGCTATGGTTGTTGCACATTGTTCCTGCTTTGGAGAATTTGTGGACATGGTTATTATCTAATTATACTTTCTACATTTTTACAATGTTCATGCGTCCTATTCGGTCAGTACATTTTCCCAGGAGTAGAAAATGGTTGATGTTTATGATGACAGGCGATATAAGGTCCTTTTTGACGGCATGTTTATGAGTTTTTATCTTTTTTTTTAACAAATGACAAAGCAAACCCTGTGAGTTTAAGTAAGTAAACATCTCCAACACTGACTTCCTCAGCACACGTCATATGCATCTAAGCCCTTTAACAAATCAGAGCCTTTAACTTGTTGAATGTTTGTCATTTACCAGCATGCCTTGTTCAATTAAACTGTGGCATATTGCCGAGTAAATTCAGGGTAAGCTGTTCCTGAGTTTTTTTATTTGGAGCCTCATGTCATTCCCTCAGAGGCCAGACCACACACATAGGGACCAGTGTAGCCGACCCCCTTACAACCAGAAGCCACAAAGCTGGCAGTAAAAAGCTTCCTTAAAAGATCCAAGCTGTCTGTCAGATAGCTCGTCTAGTTAGCCTCATTAAGATACCAAACATTCATTTCAAATACAACTCGAAGCCCGAAAATACATTTCTAACTTGCCTGTTACCGTAGGAGTTGCCAAACATTTTAACAGAGATGTTTGCCACTACAGACTAATAGGCGTATCTAAATATATGTTTCCTAATTGAGTTATTACTATTAGGATGGGAAGTTGGCTGTTCATGCTCCCAAATGAAATTTCCCTTCAGAAACTTCACATCTCTCAAATCTTTAAATGTAATCCAAGCTAGAAAAGAAAAGTCACATGGTCCCAGTTTGGACATTGCTAAACGGCTTACCAGTCCATTGAGGAATGGATCTAAATGGCAAAGAAGTGTTCATTTTATGATGTGCTGAACTTTATATTGCCATTCTGTAATTTAAGCCAAGCAAATATCCAAAAAATAGACAAATATTCCTTCAACACGCCATAAAGATTGGTTGTAATTTGCAATAGAGTCCTTGTGAGGAATACAAGAAACTTTGTCTACAAAATCACAGTAAAGTCTATATTTCAGCCATAGTTGATCTAATGTGACTGATAATACCTCATATAAAAAAATAGACGCAACAGTATCATCTCCCAATTCAATAACATGTGAAACCATGCATGGAAATACTTCTGTGATGTTGTTAGAAAGATTTTAGAGTGGGCAAAAAACTCTGGCGTGACCACCATGCTTGATTCAACAGCAGCAGTCTGTCCATGTGACACATTCCTGATATGTAGCGTATGCATTTCAAACAAGGGAGGGATTGTTTAGATTAGCAGCACAACCTATAGAGCCTGAACACAAACACAGAAATACTCACGAAGCCACAGGGAGCCGAGGAACAGCAGCAGCACCAAGATAGCCGCCGCAGCCTTGCTCTTCACACCCATTCTGAAGTCCTGTTTAGGGTCTGCCAGCTCTCTTCCTTCTCTTTGTCCCTATGTTTTAATTCCTCTGGTTCTCACATGAGTCCTTTCCCCTTGCACTGACTGTCACCACAATTACTCCCTGCCGGACCCCTGCCTCTGACCCCCCCTCACCCTCCTAAATCTTTCATACTCCTCCCCAAAACCCGAAATAAAAAGTTCTCCCAGCCACCGTACCTCACAGAGTCCCTGTCAATGTTTAACTCTATTTTACCACAGCTGCTTTCCCCCCGTCACTGTCACAGCTCAGCCTGATGTTGCTCTTGCTTTTTCCCTTTGGCTTTCTTGGATCCACGTCTCTCCTCTACCCTGCCTTTGTTTCTGACTGATCTTGAAGCTGCCTGCCTTCTTGTTGTGTTGCTCAACCTGAGGGTCCAGAGATCAGCCGTGTGTGGCTGATAATGCAGAGCCAACGTGGCGCGTCTGGCAGTAACCCCCTTCCTTCAAATTCATCTTATATACGCGCTATATTCCTGGTCAGTACGAGGAAACACTTGCTCCATCGCCTCCCACCACAACCCTCCCTCCTCCCTCCCCTTCTTCCTCTCTTTCTCCCTCTATAACTCATTCACACAAACCACTCGAAGCACCACCATGCTTACAACAGCTCTCAGACACACATTTCTGAAAATGTATCGTTCAAATGGGAGTAAAACACATCAGGACACTGTCAATGAACACATATTCCCCCCTTCAGTCTATACATGTATATTTATTGTAACCCAGAGTAAACCGCTGTATTGATTCATTTAAGATAAGATTATGTTGTTGAATGTTATCCTTGTTTGTCAATCAATAACACAGTCTATCCGAGCTTATCCTAGCTGAGCCGGCAAAAGGACTAATGATGTCCACTGATGCTAATCTAATTCTAGATATGACAAAGACATGTACAAAAACATATATATATTAGTGGGAGCAAACACATGTCCTTTCCCTTGTGATTCATAATCTGTAGTATATCATGTTGGATTTCCAAATGCTAATTATGGAGGAATTCCATCGGATTGTGTCTAATTGAAGTCTAAAGTCTGACACATGTCGCAAAAAACTGGAGGAAGCGTAAAGGGTGTTGCCATGATTATCACCTGGGATAGTGATAATCAAGGGAAACCCACTGATTGGTTGCTATCAGTGGGTCTGCTGTGGGGGAGGTGAGCAGACATTGAACTCCACTTTCAAGCCGAAGCACATGTGTGCTCGTGGAAAGGAACTTAACAATGGTGTTCTGCAGTGGAGGAGCGGGAAAAGAAGTGAAAGCAGGGGCATTAATTACTTGGCTGGGAGGAGCCGGTCATGGGGCTTGTTGCTCTGTGCAACCAATGAATGATCCCTTCTGAAAAAAAGGCAACAACTGACAAGGGAAGACTGTGAATCCTTCTGAAAAAAAACATGTGACTCTCTCAGGAGACTTGGACTCTTTGACTCCACACTGCTGGTGAAATCAGATTAAATAACATGCATTTTAAAATAGAAATAGTCCCACAAAAATGTGTTTGTTGCTGCCCATTCATGAGAGGAATCCCATGTGCACAGTGCTAATAGACTAATGCACACGGCATGACTTCCCACTGTGTGAGCATGTTGGGGGGTTTGGCAGGGCAGGAAGTGAAGAGGTCTCTGTCAGACAAAATCTGGAAGCATTTTCACTGGATTTAAAACTACATTTCCCCTAGGTTAGTTTGTTTGTATTTTAAATAGTTTTAAATGTAGGTAGAACTACAAGCTGGGAGATTGTATGTATTGGCAGTAATGCAGTTGTTAAAAAACAAAAGGAGAAAGAAAATTAGAGACCATCTTGCTACAGAATCACAGGCTGTGATGCCAAATCCTGCCAGTTGGAGGCAGGTTCCCCAGTTATGCCAATGATAGTGACTCAGTGGTTCTCAAAGTGAAGAAAGCTTGAATGAAGGCCGCGTTCACACCGCAGTACTTTTCCCACTTTAGTTCCGATATAGTTCCGAAATGTCGCGTTCACACCAAAAAGAGCCGGAACTAAAATTAGTTCATCAGAACCTTTTTATCCCCTTTTCAGTCCCTGCTAGAGAGCAGGGACTTTCGTGGGAGAAAAAGGTTCCTATGTCTGATTGGCTGGGCGGATTGCAAACCACACCCCGTAAAACTCCCAAAAGTTTTGTGAAGCCGCCATTTTATTATCCTCGCATTAGCATTAGCCCAGCGCACAAACGCAGAGAGACTTATGGCAACACAAGAGAAAACATGGGAGTGGTGGAGATGAGGAGGTGTCGCGTTCTGGCGATTTACTCGGAAGGCTTCAGTAGAACTCAACTCTGGGGACTTCCGGCCGGGACTTCGGGTGGCAGTATACGCCGTGAAGTTGTTTGCGGCCTGCCAGTAAACCCAAAGCAGCAGCAGAAGAAGTGATGTCGGTGGCTTCATTTGCCTAATCCTTCCCCCGGAACTTATTCCGGTGTGAACACGATCTGTACTTAATTCATCAGAACTAAAGAGTTCTGATGAACTAAGTTCTCATGAACCTTTGTGGGAAAAGTGCTGCGGTGTGAAAGCGCCTAAGGGTATAAAATATGCCGGCTCTTCTGCATCTAGGGGTCCATATAGCAAGTGTGTTTCAGATTCCTAATGCAAATATCAGTTCATCATAGAATAACTTTTGGATTCTGAATTTTACTTAACTTCTATGAAATAATGATTTAAACAAAGGCTATTTACAGGACTGTCTCAGAAAATTAGAATATTATGATAAAGTTCTTTATTTTCTGTAATGCAATTAAAAAAAACGAAAATGTCATACATTCTGGATTCATTACAAATCAACTGAAATATTGCAAGCCTTTTATTATTTTAATATTGCTGATTATGGCATACAGCTTAAGAAAACTCAAAAATCCTATCTCAAAAAATTAGAATAGTTCCTCAGACCAAGTAAAAAAAAAAGATTTATAACAGCAAAACACAATCAAACATTTGAAAATGTCCATTAATGCACTCAGTACTTGGTTGGGAATCCTTTTGCACGGATTACTGCATCAATGCGGCGTGGCATGGAGGCAATCAGCCTGTGGCATTGCTGAGCTGTTATGGATGCCCAGGATGCTTCAATAGCGG